CCGCCGTACCCGTTTCCTTCGCCTCCCGCTCCTCCCCCAGGCCTGCCACCTCCCAGGAAGTAAACTGAACAAGCACCGAGTTCATTTGTGCTACTTGTGCGTCCACAGGTTACCTTTGTGGGCTTTTCAAAAACTCTTGAAATCATGTAGAGGCAGGGGTTTCAAGGGCATATGTGTAAGGAGGTAAGGGCTTATATTTTCTATTTGTTTTGTACTTTTTAATACACCCAAAATGTGGAATTTAAATTGTCTGATAGAAAAGGAAATCTTCAAAATTTACCAAGGGTTTTCTAAAGTAGACTGCCACTGTACCTGCACCATGAACCATAAGGGAAACAAGTATTGTGTTTCTATTCCAAACAAATGCCTCAGAGGATGTGATCTACTTAAAGGATTTGATTAAAATGAAAGCGACTTTAGACTGAGGCCTCAGTATTATGTGGATCAGAGGGCCGGTCTGCTATAAATTCATTAATAGTCACATTCCAGGCTCATATCATTCTTGAGCGCTATATTAGTCTACACTTGTTCAGTTTGAGAAATTCTGGCTAGCATTACATTTTATTTATTCTTTACATTATAGCTTTATTCTCTGAAGCAACATTGAAGTTTGTGTCTCTTCTCTCCAGTAGTTGTCATACCAGTCAATCATTGCGTTTGTAGTGTGATCGTTGTACTAGAGTCAGATTTTGTCACGCATGCTTTTCCTTTCTGCTGTCCCGCAGCATTACTAAGCACATTGTTGACTTAACTGCAGATTGTTGCTCGTTTCCCTTTTCCCCCTCAACGTGTTCTTTTTATTGCGTTTTCCTAAATAAATCAAACCAATAAAGTGTTTCCTACTTTTCAAATGATTAATGAAGCGTGTACACCTGGTTACTTCCCTGTTAAGATGACCTTCACTACATTATTATAGTACATTCTCAGGATTATGCACTTTTTTTTTTTTGATCAGTAAATGCATATTGGTGGGGATGGAAGCTGACTTCTGTTTACAGATGGTGCACAAAATGATGACTAACATGGACATGGATTACAAGGAAAGTGCTACATGCAGTTTTTTTGTTGTTGTAGAAAATGGTTTCTATAAACTTCAGCCTAGTATTTATATCTGAAACAGGTTTGGTAAAGGGGGAATCCACTCCGATCTACTTATAACCATACCACAAATTGCTCTCTCGGTTTTAGCATTTACTTATTCCTTTTTGTGGAAAACGTGCAATTAGCTGTGGCAATAATAACAAATCTTAGCTGGCCTATTAATACCCAAACCTAGCAGTTCTCAAAAGTCGGACAAAGCCACAGCATGTGGAGCATGGATGAGCCTAATAAGACTTACAGTTCTGAACTCTAGTTTTTACAGAGTGTGCCACAAAAAGTATAATATCGACTTAATTTATTAAATTTGTTTCGAGTGGAAAGCCTCCTCCACACCTACATGTCAGTAGTAGTAGCAGAAGGGTGCCAGTTTAGCTCAGTGGGTCAGCAGCCAGCCATATGCTGCATAACCAGAGTGCAGCGGCCTGTGTTCAAGTCTTCTTCTCTTTGGCCCCACTTTCCTATCTGCCGTCACTGGTAAAGACAAAAAATTATCTTAAAAAAAAACAAAAAAACTATGTTTCATACCGTTATGGCAGTCCTGCTTGTCCTTTGTATTTTTATAATGCAAATCTGAATGGAATCAAATCCGTTTCAGCGTTTTTCACACCAACTACCCATAATTGATGAAATCTATCTTATTGACAAACTGCTAGAGCATCAAAACCTGGAGTGGAGTTTACCTTTATTATTGCTTTCTCCCTGTTAATCCCAGATGTTAGCAGTAAAACTGCCTGTAGATAAATTAAAACATCAGATTTATAACATAGAACCATCTTAAAAAGGGAAAATTGCACAGTTTTACATGGGTCAATTTATCAAATTAAATTTAATACATGTACAGCGGAATCAATATTACACAGTGAGTGATTTCTTAAATTGCCTCTTAACAGACTGTGCTCCAATCAACTCAACAGCCGTGGTTATCAGAATAATCCCGTGAATTCATTTTTGTGTGTCATTTGTTTCACAAAGTCTTTCCCGGTAAGTATATGAACAAATGAAAACAAAGATCAGGTCAGCCATTTGTATACATATATGTACAAAAGGAAAAGAAAAAAAAGAAAAGGTTTCATCTCAGGCACGTGGCAGAATCCAACCAGATGCCAGTGACGTCACCTCAAGACTGGGTCAATCTTTGGGTCAATCAACCATATAAAGGCATAAAAACGAAAGGACCATGTAGTGTACACGGGAATGATTTCATTTGCCAAATTTAGACACAATAAGTGCATGTAAGATTAACTCAAAATCCTGAGTGTAACATAAGGTGATAAAGTGTCCCAATCTTTTAATAACACAAAAGTGCAGATATTTTTAGAGGCAGCCATTTCATTTGTGGGCCTTTTGACACAACAGGAGAAAAAGCACCGCTGTAAATAAATCTTAAAAAACAAAAAAGTAAACAATAGCTGGTTCGGTTTC